TATTTCCTATTGTTTTGATTATTATTTATATCCAATTGTTAGTGGAAAAAGAAAATAAATACAAAAAACCAGCGAATAGGCGCGTGTACTCCCGGGAGTACACGATTCGCCGAAAGCGGAGTTTTTTTCGTGTACTCCCGGGAGTACACGCCGCCGCCCGCGAACGTATTAAATAAGAATCAGCAAAAGGAGCCAGCAAAAGTGCCCTCTGCTTGTCTCAAACTAAACAGCGCCGTAATGCTTTCGTAGCAGCCTCTCATCTTTATGAGATTGCTGAGTGTACGGTAGGGAAGTTGACCTGAACTAGGACTCAGAGCCTAGCCTAAGAATCGAATTGAAATCAAAAATCGAAAATCAAAACGGCACTGGAAAAGAAAGCGATTGTCATAGTAGAGCACATTTTTTTAATGTGATTACGCCCTGTATAAGTTCAAATATGACGGGCAAAAGTTGTTTCCCAGAGTTGCGGATTAGGTTTCGAAAAGTAAAATGATGACTATATGTCTCCTTAGTTGGCCGATAAGGGCCAGGAGATTCACGACACGACGATGCGTAAAAACTTGGTCACGCGCACGGTGGCAAGATCGGCCATTTTCGGAGCGGCCTGTACTTCGTGTACTAGCGCGCAACTATCCTTTCAGAACGACAGTCGTCGCGTCATCGCAACACGAATCTCTTGGGTCACCCCTACCATACTGCATAGACCAAAGGCGACCCCTATCGGTCGCCTTTGGTCTATGCAGTGCCTTTGAAAGGAGGATCTTTATGCAAATGAGTGTTGAAGTTTCTCTGATGAATACGGTGCCAGCCACCCCGAATGAGTGGACGGAGTGCCCGATCTCTATTGCGATGTGGGAGAAGATTTTTCCGCCTTCTTGCTCCAATTCCATCTTTTCTCGAGACGGCTTCTCTTATTCACAAGTTTGCTACGCTTTGGAAAGAATATCCCGCCTCTGCCGGTTACGTGCCGGAGCACCTGGCTATTCACTCTCATCAATGTCGTTTCTTCATTCCGTAACTTCACCATGTCAAGCTTTTCCTCGACCAATAACGCTCGAATCTTTTCCGTTCCTCTATACAAATCAAACATGAACCGTCGATTCCACTGGGGACCAAAACCAGGCACGTTTTCATGGTTGAGCTTGGACCCATAGAAGTTGAACAGGGCGCACTTCGGCGACGAGGAGGGGGGGGCATTTTGCACTTTTGCTACTTCCCATCGACGTGTCGACCTATCTAGACAGCCTCTTCTCGAGTTGACAGGTTTTAACATGATGGCTTGACGACCTTGCTCCAGCTTCACAAGAGTTCACAGGTTTCGCCAGAGTGAGACTTGTAAACCGGAACTAAGGAAGCAAGTGATAGTACAAAATGCCCCCCGTCGCCGAACAGCGCCGTTGAAGAGCATGATGTACCCTGCTCCTCAAAATCGTAGACACATATGAATAAGTCATTCATTCGCTGTGCGCGATGACGTGGTTGCTTAGCTGCCGCTATTTCAAACCCGCATTTTTCGTGGACCTTGTACATGGTGGTTAGCCGGATTTCTTGAAGGGCAGGTCCTGCTCCGCTGGGAAAAAGGTTTGGAAGATGAGATCCTCCCTCCCCTATAACTCATCACTCTGATACGACCCCCCCCATCCTCCTCCACCTTACTAGTTTTTCTTGAGCTCATACCAGTTGCTCCCAGTAAATTCAAACAAAAATGTCCAGTTTTTCCTCAAGAAGTTTGCTGTCGAGCGGGGAAGGGGGTATATAGCAGGAAAAAACCGCGTAAAGTGAACAACCGTGGAAAATTTTTTCCCAACACCGCAAATTTCTCTTGAGGACAAGTACGACCCCCACCGATAGCCTCCGTGAAAGAAGCAACAAAACTATCAAAAAAAAATTTCTCAGGCCAAATACCACCCCTCTCCTCCCGCCGACCATAATGCGCCCTCTCCGCTGGGGATCCTCCAACGTACGACGTGGTCTGTCTGATAAGAGGGTTATATTGGGCGGCAGTTCTTTCAACAGAGCCGCTCCTAGACGTAATTGGGAGCTACACGCAGACGTAATTGGGAATACAGCGCAGCAGAAGAACATTACATTATGAGTGAATTGAAAAATAATTTTCTCCATGCCCTTTTTTCTGAAACGTTTGAGGTTTCTCTTCGTGATTTCCTACGTCGTGTACTATTCGATGAATCGTCGCTGTAGAACGTACTTAGTATTGGCTGGTCGCTATAACGATGGCGCTTTTTTGTCTTGTTCAAACCTAAGTTTTCGAGTTGAAAAAACAAGCATTTTCGTTCTGAATTTTAGTTGATAGAGAATTCTTGCCCTTCAAGGCATCAATCTTATGTATTCTGCAAGCTCTCAATTTTCGGTAGTTTTCAGGCATGGGGGGGCCAAGTACTTATGGAATACTACGATATTCTGAGGCAGGAACTATTCACAACCGTGAGATGGTACTTCCAATGTGGCATGAGATGATATGGCCTGCAAGTATCACGTAGCGTCTTTCCCTTCCAAAAAAATTTCACGAGTAAGCGACCGTCTGGGTGAGTAGCTCATCCAGGTGCCATCGTCATTATACGCCCGCGCTATCTCGCAAATGTACACGGCTTGTGTCCGTGCCACAAAGTAACCACAGCGAGGGCTATAACGCCGTTTGACTCTAGAAATTTCGGCTGACACTCATTCTTGGCGCTGGCGCCAAGAGAGGGCACTACGATTACCTCCTGGGCTCAGCCTTAGCAGAGCGCAGGTAACCCTAGTGTCACCCATTAGCAGCCAGCGCAAAAATGGGAACTGTCATATTCGTGATCAGATGGGTTGAATTACCTCTTATACACAAGTTTTCTTAGCACGGATTTGCTGACTTGCCACTTGTACGTCCTTAGCCTGACTCAGCTATTTAAAAAAAGAGCTCGAAGACGAATTTCCTGGAGGACCCAAACGGCATTAGCACTACAGTCATTCAAGAGAAAGTCAAAAACGAGAGGGCGCAGACAAGCAGCGCGTCCGGTTATGGCTTGGCGTGTGGCTAGAACTACGGCAGTGCGGGAGGACTAGGAAGAAGGCACGGAAAGTCGCTACCCTCCAAACCCGTTCACGTGCACTTTGAGCGGAAAAAGTGGCCAACCGCAGCAGCAGACCCATTCACCTCGTGCATGGGAAGCACCGGAATCCACGGAAGTTGATGTAGTTGGTCTCCAAGGCAGCTTAGGATCGGTTCCAACTATTTAAGGGTGGGAAGTTCACATTGTAAATATGTATCTGACCAGAGCGCTCTTGAGGAATGATGGCATGCTGACCTTATGCACCCAAGTTTTCAAACTAAAGTGGAACTCACCATCAACGAAGTAAAACTCACTAGCAGATCACTTCATCTTCTACTCAAAATTTCAAGTTGAAAAAAAACGCCGTCACGTATGGACCAACTCGATATCTCGCCAGTCCCTTGAGCCATTTTTCTGAACATTTTTTCCAGAACACCTTCATGCAAAGATGAACGTAGTACGAATCCGCCATATCATGGAGATGCGTCGCGCATGCAAAGCGCCTCCTTTACTACCTCCCAAATTGAAAAAGTAAGTCCTCAAAAGCTAAGCTTTGCTCATAATGATCTTTGTGTAGTGACCCTTATTTTCTTTCACAACTACAGATCAAGTTGCGATAACTCGGATCGGAAAGCAGCGTTGAAAGACATTTTGGACATCCATCTCAGCCTCAGGTATGTTCCTAAAATCTAGCCTTATGTCGATTGAGTGGTTCAAGAAGAGAACCTTTACTCAAATGAATATGAAATTGTCGAGCCACGTTAGATGTGGTGTAGTGGTTGGCTACTGGTTCGCTTAGTGCGGGTGCGCAGTCGCAGTCAAATATCGGTTCAGCTGCCATCCTGGCCAAGCAGGTCCTCTACCTTCCAGGACTGGTAGATTGGTAGCAGGTTGATCCTGAATAGTAAAGACTGATTCCTACCCTGGCTGCCCTCGGAAGTCATGGTATAGACCACATCGCGCTTGGTAAGCCACCATGGTCGTGGATGGAAGAAGAGGGCGTAATGCATCCCGAATGGGACTGACTAGCGGCGAAGGCTCTATCCTTTCCTCCTTTTCGTTTCCTCCTTTATGTTAACCCACTAAAAGACTACCGCACTCTAGTACTGAATTACCCTAGCGCGATGATAAGCTGGATCAGCGCGCGGTGGTTGGTCAAGATTGCCTCGATGGGGGCTGTACAGCTAATATCGTCGCAGTCGGGGCGGTGTCAGGAGGGTGGCGATGATCCTCTCCTCTCGCTCTTCTTTCTACCACTAG